CCCCAAAACCCCAAAACCCCAAAACCCCAAAACCCCTCAATATTTCAGGATATTTGAATAATAAATTATCAATATGATAAACATTTCAGGCATCAACTCAATTGAAAAGGCATATACAGTTGATGTCCCTCTCTTAAGCACAGAGAATAAGAACGTCAGGTAAGGAATTAGACCCTATCCTGTAGGTTTAGAGTAAACTCTATGCTGAACCAGCATTATATACAAACCATCTTGGTAAAAATATGGAAATGTATGCTAGATGTGGTTTACAAAAAAGATGTAAACACAAAGCTTATTAAAAACGCAACTATTAACCTAGAAGCTTATTTGATGTTCTTCCCCCTGTTCGAAAAAGCAATGGGCGAGTTTTATTGCAATGAATATTACATTGCAAAGCCAGAAATAGTAACAAATTGTCTTAAATAAAATAGTATGGGCTTAAAACAATCAACTTCAGCAGATTCTCATTTGACCTAATTTCACTATGTGGAGAGAAATTGCTTGAGATAACGAATGATGAGTTTCAGACATTTTTGAGAAAGTTGTTCCAAACATTGACTTTCACACAAAACTCGAGGATAAAATTAATATCTCTGTCAGACATAAACTCACCATGGCTCTCACAGGATGTAAGAACTACTCTGATACTTTAGAATCCTGGTCATGAGCCATCTTCTAAATCATTGAACCTATCAATTCCTTTAAGCTCATCAAAACTTATCTCCAAATGTGTTGAGGGAAGAAAAGACAATAAAGATGAATTGCATGTAAGAAAAATAACTATACTCTAAGAGTCTACAGCATTAAAATTCAAGTCAAAATATTTTAAATGTCAAAGGCCTCACTTCTTTAAGTTTAATTTAGATTTTGCTATCAAACAAGCTAAACTCTATTTTTATTTTAAAGATATGCAAGAATATTAAAAATCTGTAGTCCAAGATAATTTCTTTAAAAAAATTTTCTCTACTCATTATCCGTCCAGAGCTTCAATAAGATAGATTAATTTTAAGTAAGCTCTGATAAAAATTCAAGTAAAGCAGGGTGAGTTCCTATAGTTTAACCAGTTCATCAGCTTCTCACTATGCTATGAGTCCATGATCAAATTTCTCAGTTCCCTGGCTCTTGGAATATTAAACTTATTCAAACATTTTAGTAGTTGGCCATACATCTTTTATCTTGAAAATAAAATTAAATATAGGAAGATAACCAAATTTATTCAGTGTCAATGCACTATGACAGAATTCAGAAAAGACTTAGAGAGAAGGTAGCAAAGGTACACCAACCGTCAGAATAATTATTTATATCAAAAATCTAAATAACTTAACCAATGATATAGATCAAACTCATAGAAGAGAGAAAGAGGAAGATTAAGTAAGAGATACCCTAAACCTTAGACCTTTTATTATTCCTCAACATCTCGTCCAAAATCAGAGAGTCAAAGGAGAGAAACCCTCTTTTGATTTAAAGTAAAATTTATTTGATATCAATAGTGTTCTCAATTCAACAATTAATCATGATCGCTCTTATGTCACTAGACGAAGACAGAAAATAGACCACTCAAAAGATTACTTCTCATTGACTGCTCGAAGAAAGTTTCCCATTAATCTTAGCACAGAAATCTCAACAATATCTATCAAAGTAAGTAATTTCTACAAAAATTAGAAAATAGCTGCTGATCCGTCGATCAATACGCTAAAATCTCCGAAATACTACCCTCAAACCTCGAAACGTTGCCATACAAAAACTTCCTCTTTCTCTTTCCAAGCACGTCGTATTTAAAAATCTCAAAAATTCATCTCTCAAAACTCGCTTCAAAATTTCCCAAAAACCTAAATTCCAAAAACTATTCCACTTCTCTAAGCTCTCTGACCCTCAGAAACACCTAAAAATGCCTTCCAAACCTACTAAACCTAAAAAACCAATGATTGGGGCTCAGTCTCTTCACAAGAGTCCTCCGTACACCAAGCTTGACTTTGACTTGCTCACGTTTCAAAAGTATCACCCTGAGTTCCCTTAGCTTGGCTTTAAGCTATTTTCAATATTCTAGTAAATCTCTGGGGTTTTGGGGTTTTGGGGTTTTGGGGTTTTGGGG